TACAGCCTTCCGTATTTTTATTTGTGCTATACAATATGGTATAGCGAACTATTTTAATAAATGTGTTGCGTATATACATGATATATATACGTACATATACGTTATCATATAATTACAAATTTCGGAAGAGATTCATTCAATTTTCTGTTTTTATTTTTCCATATATAGATGAAATATAATCCGCGGATATGCAAATTATATTGTGATTGTGCATTCATACAATCAATGTTTCATATTATTGTAAAAAGAATGTTTGTACAGGGGTAAAACAAAAAATTTAATTGAAATTTTTTATAAATTGCAAAAAAAAAAAATATAATGATCGATTTACCCAACTATATAGTAAGATAAATTAAAAAAAAAAAAATTAATTAAAAAATTTAATATGGGATCAAAAATTTTTTACTTGATTGGAGTTGGTTTTAATTTGTTTTACAATTTTCAAGAAACTTTTAATATAAGCTCATTGGAACCACGAAAATTTTTCTAAATTGTAATTAATATAGGAAATGTTTTTTAATTAGTCAACCCTTAACCGATTGCTAAATGTCACTTACAAATATATTCATATGCGAGTTAACCTAAATGGTTGTGTAAAATCGTGAAATTGCTATTTATACACTTACATATTTCAAAGTATTTTAGGAGAATTAACGGTATTTTGAAGAAAATCCACTGACTTGAGTAGAATTGGCACATACTAAACCTATACTAAATAAACTGAATCTATTAGAATTTGTAAGATATGTAGGGTTACACACATAGACATAGACAGCTTGCCTAAATATAATTGTTTTGAATTTTTCTAGCGTGGAAAAATTCATTTACGTGCATTTTTAAATTTTGTGCGGCGACATAATTCCCAATGTCAAGTAAGTATGCGATACAGTTGTAGATTATTAGGAATGCAAAAGATTTTATCACATTTTTCAAGATATTCTATATTAAAATCACTTTTAAAAATTTTCGAATGACGTTAATATTAAAATTATAATTAATTTCGAATTTTATTTTCGAGTATGTAATATGTAGTTACTTTTCGAAATGTGCTCATATACTTAATATTTACTATAAAAACAAATTTTTAAATGGAAAGTTTAATTTAACACTTTAAATATTTTCGAGCTTTTATTATTAAAATTAAAAATTCTCTCTTTTATGTTAGAGTAAACAGATGTCTTTTAAAATCTTAATGCTAGGAGATATTGTACATTTAGTAATAAACTCAAATGCTTTTAAGAGATAATTATTATTTTTTATGATTACATATTTTGATATATAAGTATGTAGAATACAGTGTTTTTGTAATTTGATAGTTTCAAGGAAATTATAAGTCAGTATTCGCGTTTATTATGTATCGAATCTCTTAATATATTTTTTGTTAATTTGATAGTTATTATATAAAATCGCACATGTTCCTAATAATTACTTACAGCTCATTTGCTGAACACTTCATTATTGATAATTCATTCTCTAGTATAAATTCACATTATAATTATTAAAATATATTTTTTATGCCAAGATTATTAATTATGTGTGTTAATTTTGATATTGCAAAATATGGAGCAATTACTCTGGTGGAAATCTTAAAATTGACAATGTTATAACCTTATTGGAAATTAAAACCATAATTATTATTTTTTTTTCTTAATTATGTATTTTGTTATTTATTAACGTAATACATTATTATACTGAGTAATATACACTGTCATATTATTAAAAAATTAGAACTACAAAAAAAAAAAAAAATAATATTAATTTTAGGATTCCAATTACTATTGCTTTTTCTTAACCGAAGATAATAATTATTATTCACCAGAGAAGGAAAATGAAGAGGAAAAAATGAGTTTTCCTTAATAAAATTTTTGTTTTGTCTTTTTGCGTCGTAATTCAAGTAATATAGAAAAAAAAAAAAACAAAATTACTTGCAGGTGATTAAAAAATATGGCACACGATAATTAAGATTTCTTTCAACTTTATTAAGGTTATAATTTGTGGAGTTATGCAGTGAAAATAAAGATTTTTGTAAATTAGTTGAAAAAATCTGGTATTTCAGGTGTAATAATTAAAATATTTAGGTATGATTTAATTAAAAGAATCTAGATCCTTGAATTTTTTAGAAGTGGAGCATATTTTTGTGTTATCATGGGTTTTTATTACTAACGAGTTTACAAATAATTATTATTAAATTTGTTATAAAGACACTTGAGCACTAAAGATTATGTACAAAATTATGTACAAAAAAAAATCATATGAGTTTGTAATACAAAATAATGATTTTATAAATTTACATTTCATATTATTTTTAAATTATCTTAGATTAAATTATTTTAGGCTTTGTATACTTATATAAAAATAACATATTTTTCCTTTCGGTGTGGTCCAAAAAAAACCACAATTTCAAATACATAATTTACTAAGAAAAAACAAGACAAAAATTAAGATGAACAGAATAAAATAAAATAGTATATGTATATTGAACACATTGTAGGCATATGACAGTGACGGATTTAGAAATATTTTAAAAATTTTGAGTTGAGGCATTTTACATACCACAATAAATTAGTGGAAGTTTTCAAAATATATTTCTTTATTATGTGAGTTGACTTAGTTAAACTATTTAAATAAGATATTTTATTTCCAAGCAGCTTATTCCAAATTAAATTAGACTACTATAATTATTAAAAAAAATTAAAATTTAGTAAATTCATTTCATTTATAAAAAATGAAATTAGATTATCGAAATGCATGATAAGCACATGATATTATGAATAACTAATATTAATTGTAGTAATTTTCTGCAAAACCAGTTCTAAATATATTTTTCACAGTATATGTATTTCTCGTATACGTTTTGAAAATTACATTTAAAAAATTAATTCCGAAAGAACGCAACCTGGGGCATTTACTAAATTAAAGAAATTTAACGTCAACTTTTATAAAATTGTTGAATGCATATAGATCCTGAACTTTTTCAACAATTTTATTTGTACTGAGTTATTTATGCACTCGTATAAAAAGTGAATTTCAATAAAAGACATCATTCCCATTTTGATATAGACGCCCATAGTCTTGTTTGCGGGGTATTATACAAATTCGGCACTGTACAAAATATAATATTATATATATATGTGTGTATGTATTTTTAAATATTTATTTAGAATAAAACAAAAAGATATCAAAAACAAAACCATAGAATTAGTGTATAATAAGGAAAGAAAAATAAAATAACAAAATTTCTACATACAGGAAACTGATAATATAAAATAATCTGGAGATTGATCTTGTATATATTTATTTCAATTCTTTAAATTTCTATAAAATCTATATATACATACATGTATGTATATATGCATATTTGATGTCCATACACACATATGTGTATAATATAGCATATAAAAACCTTGAAGACTTAGTTGTATTGTTATAGTTGCCTAATTTTAATTTTTCTCAATATTTATTTTCTTATTTTGGAATTTTATTTTTTTACTTATTTACTTGTGGTATATAGAATGAATAATTTCTTTTTGGCCATTATATTGTATTACAAATTTGAAAATTGAGGAAATTATGTAAATGTTTTTTTTTTTTATTGTTTAGTTTTTTCTTTTAAATTGCAAAATCTTTCATTATAAAATTGTGAGCTTACATTATCATATACTGGTAAATTACTAAAAAAATTTGACTATTAATGTTTTGTAAAAGATTTTGATTATGTCAAGATTGAAAATTATATGCACAGGGGTGCCCGAGAGTTGAGTATTTTACTGGAAATTGTTTTCCTTCATAATATAGAAGGTATCGGACATGAAATCTTGAAATTTAATTCAAAATTCATGAATTTTTATCTTTTCAGCAATAAACCGTATTGGCAAGAAAAGCGTATTTCATTCCGTTTTGTTATTGAAATATGATTAAGAATTTTTTGTAACAAATCTTACCAATAAACCATAACCGATTTCCAAATTAATGCCGACTTTCTAGTCTTATTCTCGTTCTCAGCAATCTCAACAGGAATAAAATGAAGCGAAAACTTAATTTGTAATTTTAATAAAATTACTGGAATAAAAACATTTATTTTAAGCGAAACCTCTAAGCTCTTAATGAAATTTAATTTTCGCAATTTTTTATTATGCAATAATTTTAAAAGTAAGCTAATAAAAATAGTTTTACTAAACTAGAAATAAAAATGTTTTGTTTTTTCCTCGTAATTCATTTAATAATTACGACAAATTTCTCATTTAATTTAACAAATTACTTATAAATAATCGCTAATATTTTTATAAGTTTTATGATAATTAAAAATTCATAAAGTTTAAGCGCCAATCAACACAGAAAAAAAAATCACAAATAATTTTGTGAATAAAAAATACTCTGTTAATAATTTTTTTTCTTTTTATTCGTATTTATTTTGAATTTTCCGAAATAAACTGCAATGTAATTGAAAAAAAAAAAAACTTATTGAAATTTTAATTATATCAAGAATATTGATCAGCATGATCGGTTTTTTTTTTTGTTAGTTTTTCTTATAATGTGATGATTTCCAGATGGAATTTCTAATATGGTATTTAAATAAACAATTCCATATACTCACTTAACTTTTAGAACATATAGAGATTCATTTGTAGATTCCATAAATTTCATAAAATCTCAAGTTATGACAGGTTGTTTTTTTGGAAATTGGAACGTAATTTATATATATATACATATAAAATGTACTTACAATGTAGGTTTTATAATAATTTATTAAAAAAATGAACTAAATTGTAAGAGAACTACATAATAGGTGGTTAATTAAAAAAATATACAAAAAAAATAGTTTATTATTATAAATTTTTTTAAAGAATTTTCTGTTTTTTAGATTTAAATTGTAGTCAAATTTTTATTTATTCAATAAAAATTCTTTTAATACTTATTCTTTAAGTTTACATTGATGAAAAAAACAAAATCTGTTTATTTATCACACATCTTTAATATTTTTTTTTTTTTTTTTATTATAGTTCTTCAAGAATGTCCCACCGATTCCGAAGAATTAATGTACCATCAAGTGAGAGCACAATCATCATGTAGTGCTCCACCAGATTTATTATTAGTTAGCGATAGAGAAAGTAATCATCAACAACATTTAAAATCCCCAATATCAAATGGAACATCACCATCACCTAAACGTCTTGAAAATGTACAATTACAACAACCACAAAATACTCATAATCATCATCATCAACATCATAATAATAATAATAAAGAAAATACAAAGAAAATAATTTCATCAAATAATGAAAATTCAATAATAACACCACCTTTAAATGGAGGTGATTATCAAAATAATCAGAATACTACACAAAATCATCGATCTAAAATTGTTAATAGTTTAGGTGAAAATCAAACTTGTGAAAAATTAAAAGACAAAGTTAAGAATTCTACTGAACAGGAAATTCATTTGGAGGTAATCAACATTTGATTTTATTATTTTTTGTTTCTGTTTTAAAGTATTATCCAATCGAACTTTGTCCCTTATTATAACATTTTCAATATATAAGATAATTTAATTTTAAATAAAAAAAAAACATTCAATTTATTAATATTTTTTTCTTATATTGTTGCAGGAATTTACTTGTGATGTTTCTGTTGAAGGTGGAAAATCTACTCAACCAATACAATTCTCATTTACATTCTATGATTTAGATGGACATCATGGTAAAATTACAAAAGATGATATTGTTGGAATTGTGTATACAATTTATGAATCAATTGGAAAATCAGTTGTTGTACCACATTGTGGTAGTAAAACTATAAATGTTCGTTTAACTGTATCACCAGAAAGTAAATCAAAACAAAATCAAAATAAAATTACAACAGATATTGTTACACAAAATCATCATAGACAACATCGTATACGACCAAGAAAATTAATAAAATCTGATGATGAAGAGGAAGAGAGTGGTAGCGAAAAAGATGGAAATACAAAAGTTCGTAATCATGTACATCAAACACATCATTTTAAAAAAAAATTAAGTGAACATAAAAGAAAATTAAGAGCGACAGAATCTAATAAAAAAGATAAAGAAAAAGAATGCTGTTTTGAATTAAGTGAGAAATTAAATCATTTAAAAATTGAAGCACAAGGTAGTGGCAGTACTAGTGGTATCGGTAATAATAATTCAGTTCAAATAAAACAAGATAAGGAAACAATTGACTCAAGTAATTGTAATAATTTAATAAACATTGATTGTAATGATAAGGAAGAAGAGGAAACATCAAAAGAAAGTGATGACGGTGATTTATTACAAAATAATTTGGCTATTCAAAAATGTGTTAAACATAGAATAAAATCAGGTCGACGAATAAAAAAAGAAAAGGTAATAAAATTTTAGAGAAATAAAAAAAAAAATAAAAATATTTATTTTAAATATTTATAAAAGCATTCCGAACATCATAATTCTGAAATGCGTCGAAGAAGTTTATCTGTTGGAAATGAATGTAACTGGAGAAAAAGACAAGATTTAAAACCTTCTCGTTTAACTTCTGGTATAAATGGAACAAATTTCGATAATGGAAACAATATTGGCCAGGATGTAGTTGATGGTGATTGCCGTGTAGAATTTCGAAATAATGGACTAAAACGTAATGAATTAATTGATATTATAAGAGAGAGTATGGAAAAAAATCGCTTGTGTTTCCAATCGAGCGGGTTAGTACTGTGAAATAAACCTTATTTTTTTTTTTCAAAAAATTAATTTTTAATTTAATTTTTATTTTAGAAAACCTCAAGCAAGTGTTAGTCCAATGCGACATCATCAATACCATCGTCAAAGATCTAATACTGTTTCTAAGATACCTACCGCGGTAAATAATCATATTTATGATGTAGCTGGTGAAAAAACACAATCCTTACTTGGTGGTAGTCCTTCAGTAGCTAATAATAATAATCATTCCTCAAAACATCATTACCAACAGCATCAAATTTATAGCAGTCCTCAAATGTTGTATCATCAACCAACATCAACATCTTTCCAACATTCACCGGGATCAATCACAAATTCGCCATTGAATGGTAGTAATAATAGTGGACCGCACATTCCAATTTATCATCAACAATTAGCTATTAATCCTGCTATATTATCTGCTGTGCAAAATAATATACAAGCAAATTTAGAAAAAACATCGCACACAAAACAAAATTTATGCGGTTATGATTCATTTTTACATGCGAAAATGTGTAGTAATAGCACAAACAATGGAAAAGGCTCCGGAAATACACAAAACTCACCTAATCATTTTCATGTTCCTAATAATCTTCATCATAGTAATATTATAAAACCACTAAAATCATCACGACAATTAATGAAATTATCAAGTCCTTATTTTAATGAACAACAACAAATTTCTTTAATAAATCTCAAACATAAAAACTCATCGAACGTTCAAGAATCTCATTTACAAAATATACAAGGTTATCAACGTTTATATGGCTCAAATCAAAGTAATGCCACTACAACTACTACTACAACAGCAACAACAGCTAAAAAATTAAATACTGCTTTATTAAATATTATAAGTCCACAACTAACTGCTGAAGAGAAATTATGTCGTACTATTGATCATGTTGAAAAGTGGTTAAACGAGCACGGTGCCAGTATTACTAATATTTCTGATGATAAGTATAGTAAGAAAGATGTTAAAAATTATGATAATTTATTATATGTTAAACTAAATGAAAAATTTGCTCAACAACAAGAGCAACAGAAATCACAGCAAACAAATTCAAATAATACAGTGTCAGACAATACAAAAGGAAATTTAAATAATAACATTGGAGATAATAATAAGGAAAATATAAAAAAGATTTATCATTATCATCAAAAATTATTACAACAGCAACGTAATAGTACAACTTCATCCACATCAAATAAATCTAACAGCAGAAGTAAATATATCACTGTCGCAACACCAACCGCGTCAAAAGTTAATCAACATCAGCAATCACAAACATTTCAACAAACTGCAATCGACCCAATTGAATGTGAAAATCTTTTAAATACGGCAACATCAGATGAAGAAGAAGTTGAAGCAAATTGTATTTCCGCTGCAACAACGCCAGTATCACCAGTTTTAACACCGAATTCTCCAAGTCAAGAAACTCAAGTTGGAAACGATGGAACTCCAATTATTGTTGAAGCTGGCAATTGTAATCAAAATGAAAATGTTAATAATGACCATACCGCAGCTCCAACAGGTACATCAATAACAGGGGATAATAGTTGTAATAATAGTTCAAATTCATTATCAATGATTCATAGATACGTTCACGAACATATTCATCATCACTATCATCATTTTGAAAACAAAGAAGACTGACCTTTCTAATTCTAATCTTAAATAAAAAAAAATAAATTATTAAAAGAAAGGTTTTTACTAAGTTACAAAACAATAATAGATACATAATATTATATTCAAGAAATATTATTTTGTCAGAAAAAATTTTAAGATATAAAACTTTTTTATATTATTCCTAACAAAAATAAAAAAATATAACTAAAAATTTCGCAAATGATATTCTTACTATATTACAATTAATTGTATAATAATCTTCAATTATAAATGTAGAAAATAAATATTAATCTAAAATCTCTTGCACTCAATTCCATCGCAAAAAAAGAAAATCATTTAATATTCAAATTTGTTTTTATTTTAATCAAATGCTATTTTCATATTATTGATATGCAAAGTAGTTCAATACTTTTCATATTACTATTCAATTTTTTATCAATGAAATTTTATTAAATCAACTTCTTTTGGAATGCACAATAAATAGTAAAAGTTTATGAAAAATTAAAAAAGTATGTTTTTAGCGAAACTCCCATATTTCTATTTTACTCTTTAAAGACTTTCATTTCAGTTTAAAAATTTTAAAAATACGTTTTATAAATGAATTAATTTTCCACACCAAATTTAATCATTATGCTAGAATAAATCAAAGAATATATTTTCATTTTAAATATCAAATTCTAGCCTATTATTGTAAAAATAAAAATCAACAAACTTTGATTATATTTAGATATAAAACCATTATGTATTTAATTCTACAAATTTCTCATTAAATTAATAGTTTTTTTTTAATAAATATTTATTTTGCTTTGTTTTAAAAATTAGCTTAATAAGTTTAATATCTAATAAAAAAATCTTCTAATTTAATTTATTCTAACTTTTTACTTATATTATATTAAGTTTACAAAACAAACAGTTAACATTAATAGCAAATTTTCTTTTAAATTAAAAAAAAATAATTAAAATTAAAAAAAAATAAGAAAAAAGTTTATATTTGTAATAATGAAAAAAAAAATATATATTTACATAATACTCAAAACAGAAAATTCAGATTCTGCAGGTTAGGCTATTTTTGCATTAAAACATTACATTATTATAAATATAATTTATTGCAAAAATAATTTTAATTATTATTTTTAATAAGTTGAACTATATATTACTATTATTATATAAAACTATGTACAATTAATACATAATTTTTGTCGCTAATATCGTATACGAAATAAATATTGAATGGCGTAAAAAAATAAAACAAATATAATATAATAAGATAATAAAAAAATTCATTAATATAATATATCTTATTTTAAATTGTAAATTTGAATAAAAAAATATACAAATAACAAGTAATTGATAAATTTATACAAAAGACAAAAATTTAGCGACATAATTTTCTTTCCGTTTATAAGGTTAATGAAAGTAATATCAAAAAATTTAAAATAAAAAGAGAAAAATTATTCTTGTTTCTTAAATTTTCTTTTCATTTTAATCAAAAAAATTAATTGTTAATATTTTATGTTAATGAAATTTTTTTTGCACTTTTAATCACAATTTTATTTTTTAATATAACATGGAATTCGCTGCCATAAAAAGCGTAGCCTCCTATTGGAACAAGCTTGAATGGAACAGGTTTAAGAAATGTTAGTTAAATAAGTAAATTTCAGATATATAATAAAATAAATGTGCTTAAATTAACTTCAAAATAATAACATATTCATTCTTAAATAATTAAAATAATTCAGTTATTTTCATACATCATTTTTAATTTCAAATTTAATATAAAATAATTGGAAAAATAACAATCTTTCACTTGCAACTATATTATATAATATACAAGCTTTCATTGTTCTTTATTATGAATTTCACTATACATATTGATATTAAGAATCAATTATAAAATTTATATTAACATATTTTGGAAAACAAAAAAAAAATAATGAAAATAAAAGAAAAGTAAAAATTTTTAAATTATAAAATATAGTAGATAAGATTTACAATTTTATATAAGTTCAAAAATAAAAAAAAAGTTTATATTAAAAAAATTAAAAAACAAAAAAGAAACTATTATATGAAAAAGTTTTTTTAAATAATTGTGCGCTTTCTTTTTAAACAGAACTTGTAACCTGAATCATAAAATAACTAAATATTAGAAAAGTTTATTTTAAATTAAAATAATTATTTTTCTTTAATAAATAGCATTATATATATCACATAATAAATATATTTAAAATTAAATTTGTATATCAAATTAAATATCTAAGAAGCAGTATTTTAATCAAAACAAAATAAAAATTATAAGCATTTTTTCGAATTTATATAATACATAATTTATATATAATTTTTTAGAATATTAACTTCAAATAATAAAATTAAATTTATATACTATCAAAAATAAAAAAAAATGTTTATAATTTTCTGAAATAAGTACATTTTGAAATTTCCTTCTTCTTTTTTAATAAGTATTCACAAAAACAAATCAAATTTTCTTATAATTAATAATCAAATTTAATTGATTTAAATACTAAATTAAATGTAGAAATAAATTCGAACAAAAAAAAATGCATGTTGAAGCATAAACTAGCTTAAAAAGTTAACTAAAAAGAGAATGTTGTTAAAATATAAATAATTTATAAGCAATTTTTGAATCTATTAAATTTTTAAATTTATTCTATTTAAATTAATATTCTATTTTAAATTAAAATTTTATTGTTTATAGTTTTTAAAATATGTATTTTCTATTTTATAAAAATTGATCAGATTTATTAATAAAATAATATTAAGTTCTCTTTCAGTTTACAATTTATTAAGTAAATGCTTCACTACAAACTAAGTGTTCCAATAATAAATTAAAAAATATCAATTTAAAAAAAAATCGTATACATACTTATATTATTGAATGAAAATATATACAAATAGATACAAAAATAAATATATGAATACATGAATATGTAATTATCCATTTATATAGTGTCTGTACCTTCATATTTAACAATTATAACAATAAAATAATAGTTCAATTTTTTTTATACATATACATTTTATAAATAATGTATATGCATTAATTTCATTTATTAAATAATTTTATTAAAAAAAGACTGATTTCAATAAATAAAAATGGTAAAAAAAAAAAAAAAAACACTTTACAAAAATATAATTAAATATAAATACTTGTAGTTTTAATAAATTCTTTATCAAATAATTTGAAATTCTTTAACATTGGACCCAACGTTTTTACCGTATGTTTATGTCACAAGAAAGAATGGACGTCACTTATATTGTAGAAATAAAAGAGTTCTAAAAATCTCTTTATTTTGTATTGTAAATTGGAAATTGTGATATGTGAATTAAGAGCAAAAAATTATCTGTGTATATCGTATTCAGTACGTATTGATGATGATCTATTGAGATTTATATACTTCAGTCTTATAATAACATTTATAATATTTTTATTTACTATGTACATACACAAAAATGTTAGAAAATTTCCTCTCTTGAATTTTGAAAATCATTAATGGAACAAGGCTGAGAAGAGCATTAAATAAAGAGAATGAAAAAAAAAGTTTCATTTTAATTTTTATTTAAAAAAAAATATTTTAATTTAAGATCATTAGATCAATAGAATATATAGTACAGTGAGTTCAAAATGATTTCCTTTTTTTGAAAAAAAAAAAATCTAAAAATAAAATAATTTATCAACAATTTAGAATAACATTTGGCAATGCCATCCTATTGTTTATTTTTCGTCACAAAACAGAAACAGAAGGAAAAAGAAAAAACGAACATGAACTTTGAAAATGAAAACAATAACATAAACGATGGAAAATAAGTTGATCAAAATAATTATTGGGTACCAAATTATTTCTATTTTTATTAATTATCTATTTCTTGAAATACTAATTAAAATGCACTTAAAATACACAATTATTGAACTATTAATATATACATATGTGTGATTTTATTATAGTTATTTTGTATTTTGTGAAGTTCCGAAGCAAAAATATTATGTAAATTGCACAAGGAGAGATACTAGAAGACACTATGATTATAATAATAGCCCATAAAAGGTATGTTTGTAACGCTCTATTGTTATAACGTCAGAAAAAATTTAAGAATTTTACATTTAGTGAGTGATCGTGTATCTCGTTATTTTACTCGCTTTGTGAGAAAAAAGTAAATGACTCATATTATTATATTTACATGTACACATAATGTAGTTTTTGAATGAGAAGAAATTTTCCGTTTTTCGTACCTTATTTTTTCTAAAATGTATATAAAATTTAATTTTTATTTAAGTGAGATACACGATTAGGCTGTGAGTATTTCAAAAAACAATTTTTATTGTTGCAACAAAATTTTGTTCGCTATTTTATAATATTTTAACATTTTCAATACAAGAATACTATTGAAAAAAAAATGGATTTGAAGATCAATGTAGCTTATGAAGCAAGAATCCTTCATATTTATGATTATGTTATTTTGAAGAATTAGCAAATTTTGGTATCGTATTAATTCATTACTTTATTAAAATAATTATAGACTAAATGCAACAAAAAATGTTCAAATTATTCAATTGATTTAACACATTATAAACGAATTATAAATAAGATATACCATAATTTTTTAATTTTCCAAAACGAAAATTTCCTCAATTACATACGTATGAAAATTATTTCGGTATAAATAAAAGTATATGATCGGGCAATCGTCTTTATACAAGGTCAATTACTGATTAATTTTCCTTTATATTCTTTGCATGTGTTATACCGAGAAATAGAACAATATTAAAAGAAAATTCATTTTGGTTTTTTGATTAGTAAAAATCAGAGCATTGAACAAAGTGGTTTATAAAATTATTAAAATAAAAAAAAAAAAAGAAAGTTTGCAAACAAATTTTAATTTTTTGTTTTTTTTCATCATTAGATTTGAAAAATTTAAAAAAGATATGAGAAAATGGAATATTTTCAGAGATTAGATTGTGCCGAATGTTTTAATAATACTTTACCAAGAAAACGTGTTGTAAATACTGAACTTAAAGATGTTAATAAAACCAAATATGGTTCAACTATAATTGCATGTTTTAAAGTTTTGCATTCCGAATCAGATCCAAATATTAATTATGAGAAGGTGAATTTTAATTATGTAATTAGTAAATTAATAATTAAGTAACAGAAAAAAGTAAATAGAATAGTTTTCTGATTCTTTAGAAAATTAAATTTTATTATAATTACGAAATATATTTTAATATGCCTATAATAAATAAAATATATATGTATATATATAAAAGAACAATGGAATATAAGGAAAAATATAGAAGAAAAGTTTCGGAAAAATTACGTTTTATTTTTTTATTTTTCTTGAAAATAGACGTAGACAAAGGAATTAAAATTTATAGTTTTTTTTTTGTATGTTTTTGTTAAAAATTTATTTGTACATAAGTAGTTTATTTAGAGTAATAAAATTGTATTTTGTTTAATTTTGTTAAAGCAATTAGTTAAAAACATTTTCATTTATATCTTATGGTTTTTAAGTATAAAAAAGTTTTTAATAGATTGGTTCTTTGAACTAGAAATATAAATTTTGCTTATACATATGTATGTGTGTATATAACGGGCATCTTCTACGCATTTATGTAAGAAATTGTTTTAAAGAATTTTAAGAATAAGAATTATAGTATACATACGTATACAGTACATTTTTTTGTAGATACAAGCAATATTTGAAAATTGTTTTATTAACGGTAATTTTAAATTAATAATTTACATTTAATTAATAATTTAACAAATTGTTTTGAAGGCGTTTTTCTATATTTTAATCATCTGCGAATTTGGACTCATGTATGTTAATTTTAATATCGGTTTTATTTATTTTTAGACTTTTCAACAATTGCTAAAAAATTATTTTGCGCACATTTATCGAATTCAAAGAATTGTTCTATTAAGAGATGAATCAGGATATCACAGAAGAGATAAATATTTATTTTTTCATTATTTAGTGGAAAGTGCTAATAGAAATTTCGCCAAAATGTAAGTTAATATTAATTATTCATTAAAACTTAAACTAAAATGAAATTTAAAATAAAGAAAACAATAATTTACTTGATACAATACAAATGACCAAATGAACTACTTTCTGTTTTATCATGATGTACTATAGAATTAATAACTGAATTATAATTAAATGATTGAATAATTCAATTAATTACATTTGTACTTTCTATTATAAAGTTGATAAAGGACACAATATTGAAAAACTAAAATTTTATTTTACATAATAAATTTATTATTATTTTTTTATTAATCAATTGTTTTAAAATTTTTCATTTTCAGGGTTTTACGAGAAGGAATTCGTGGAACATGGAAAAATCAAGATTTTTCATTATCTTTAGCACCATTTTGGTTACAGCCTTGTTTTAAGTCATATATTAGAAATAGTTTCCCAAGAAATTGTGATTTTTTCCTCGAAAGAAACTATTTGGGAAAATTAAATGATGACTGTTTAACAGAAATTTCTAAATATCTTCCATTACGGGATCAAATAAACTTAATGAAATTATCAAATCGTTTTGAAGTGATAATTGATTCAAAAATTAAATTTACTGAAACAGATTATTTATTTACTGATAAAAAAGATTTATACTATTTATTTTTAAAAAAAGGTTATTCTTTTAAAGAGGTTATATTAACTTCAGAAAATGATCATGTATTATTTCTATGTCATTTATTAAGTAAATTTTGTAAAAATTTAAAAATTTTACGAATTCAAATATATTTAGAAAGCGATTTTGCACGAATTCTTGAATTTCGAAAAATTTTATATCGATTTGAAAAGTTGGAAATATTTCAAGTTGATGCTGAATTTGATCAAAATAAATTTTGGAAACAAACATTTCGTTATTTACCAGAAAGTATGAAAGTTTTAATCGTAAATGAAGTTGGTGATGAAAACTTCGTGGAATCATTTCCATTTATTCCATTAAGTATTGATAAAATTGTTTTTACAAAACTGGCTGGGTTAACAGATATCTCAAAGATATTGCATGCTGTTGGAACATTGAAATTTTTCAAGGAAGTTAATCGCCCCAAAAACTTTACAATATTTTATACTGTTACAGAACGTTTGAAGATTAAATTGCAAAATGTAAGTTTCAATGATAATATTATGTTTTTTATGGAATTTCAAAATAAATTTTCTTTTTAGAATCCAGAATTCTTAGAAATATATGATGAGGGTAACATTATCTTAATAGAAGACGCCTCCTTTTGGACATCTAGTTTCGACTGATTTAATGTTGCTTATATATTCATGTGCAATGTGTACATGATTTATCTGTGAATATTAATCTCACAATATGCGTTAATTTTTATGTATGTGATTTTTAGAGTAAACTATTTTTATAAATTACCTATAAGTTTATAAATTTTTTTATTAGGAATTTTTTTTAGTGTAACATTATTATAACCGTTCAAAATTCTAAATGGTATTTGTAAAACGTTAAAATTAGATTTTATTTAAAGTATAAATTTTTATATGTATTTAGTAAGTGTACTTATACTATTCAAGTATTTTTTTTAGGTATAAAATAATAATAAACAGAATATATATATTTACTAAAAAATTCAGTCCATGACTCGGATTTTTTAGTTTCATTAATTGTATTTAGTTTTGAATTTAAAATCTCTTTTAATATTTTCTCTTGTTTAAAAGAAGCTGTTTGAATTTCCAGTCGTATACTATCTTTTAATGATATATTTTCATCTTTGATTGTTTTAGTAACATTTTCTTTAAAATCTTTTGCGACTAAGCCGAATTTTGTATTGTGATAGAAATGGCCAATTGCAGATGCTATTAACGTAACTACAGATGCCGTTAATGTTCCCATTAAACCTAAGATTTTAATAAAATTTGAATGCACTTTTTCTTTTTCGTAGGAATCATTGATTGCAGTTGTTAAGTTATTGAAAAGTTGACGTTCCATTTCATCAGCCGTATTAAATTCGATTTGTTTTTTTGTTTCACTCTTTAATAAATTCATTTCTTCTCTTACTAAGGCTACATATCTTTCAGTACCACGCATTGAACTAGCGATTTCATTATGATTTTTTTGTATTTCTTGTCGAATACTGTTTAAATCATTTAGAAGTCTTCTTTTTTCATCACCAGATTCCTTTAATTGATCCTAAAAAATTGTTTCTAAATATCTTTGACATCGCCTATCTGTATATGATTTATACCAACATAATATATTGGTGTATTTTATAATATAGCCTACCTTAAATAGCATTACTTTTTCTTGCGCCTTTCTCACGTCGTCTAAATGTGAAATTTCTTCTATATACAACATAAAATTATTTAGAATTTGTTTAACAGTGTTAGGTAGTTTAAATTGAGGTTTCGTATTTTCCAAATTTGAAGGTACTTCCAGTACAATATTGGCACCTAAAAGCAAAATTTTGTTATTTTCATCAATACTTAAGTATTTTAAAAAATTCTATACTTTTTTTGTTTACGCAATATTTCATATTTTGATTGAAGTAGTAATGGTCGTGCTGGGAAGAGAGCAAATCCATTGCATTTCCTTTCCAAATATGAATACTCCTATTGTATGACCATATTTTGGATGTATTAAAGGTTATTATTCTTGCCGTATAAACAAACATGATTTGTATTTATGTAAAATTATACGATGTACCCCAATTTAACTTGAATTGTCAAATCACGAGCTTCAATTGGCGTTAGATTAAAACAATCAAGAAGTTCAAAACTTTATCTATTTTCCGAAAATATTTTTTTTTCCATGTTTTTATAAACACCGATGTTTTCTGTCAGCCACTCATTTGCAGAAACAGAAATTGAGATGTCATAATAAACATAAATTTTAGGTTAAGTTTGTTGGAAAGTAAATATAAAGAGACTTTGTTGCTACACATTTTTAATCAACAAATATTAGTTAAGCATATTTTAGAACTGTCAAACACTTCAATGTTTCGCCGCTGAATTCAAATACAATTGAAAATTTGAAATTTTTTTTTGTTTGTTAACGGTGAATTTCACATATTGAGTTTTCTCTAAATCCGAATAAAATTTAAAAAAATTTGGTAGCTGTAAGACGATTGTATATTATTTTAGTCTCAAAAATATTTTATTAATTTAAGATAAAAATGAACAGTTAACCATAATTCCAGAAATTGTTTGTTTATATATGTATTTTGTGACTTATGTGTCAGTGGTTAAATAATTATTATAGTAAAATTACTAAATTCTCAATTGCTTGACAAAATCCGAAAATGTTTAAGATATTTTAATTTTACGGCTTTATAGTAGTTTTCGAAAGTTTTAATAGAATTATATTAAAGAGTTTTTAGCATTATACTTTAAAATATTATAAGAGTTAGAATAAAACGCAATATTTCCTCTTATAATTGGATTCATGTAAGTAAACATAATATATTTCTCGTTTTACAGCTTTAGTACTTCATTAAGAATACAAATAGTATCATAAGCAGATAGTATCATAAAAATATTTTAATAAAAATTTTCAGAAAATTTTAGATATATTCTACTTCTCTTAGTACTTCTCTTAGTAATTAAATAATTTTTAAAATTTTTTTGGTTAATTTATCCAATCATTTCTCCATTGTAATGGTTCGACACCGGGCTCGTGCTATTACTGGCTTCTTCACTTGGAAATTGTTCGATGAAATATCACTTGCACAAACTTAGCAAATCGGACTCCCTTTTGTGTAGAATCTGCCGGGACCATGTAGAGACGGCCATACCGTTCTGTGTGACTAGCTTGCGCTAACCAACATGAGGTAAAGATGATTCGGGCGGGAGCCTTTTCAGTATTGCAGACCATAAGTATAATTCCCTGAGAGATATTTCCGAGTATTTATTTGGATTGGCTGTGGTGGTCGGAGAGGAGGTGCTTCTTTGCCTTCATCTTTTTTTTAGTAACCTACAATCTATTTATTCTATGTTTATATAAATTCCAGTAAAACTGAACTAGGAGTTGGAAAGAGTTGGGGAAGGACTAATTACATCAAAATAATCAAATTTTTATTTTTTTTTTTTGTGGTTTATGTCAAATTATGCTAATCAAATTTTAATCTTTTACCTTGAATTTTATATTTAATTAATTTAATATTTCCTTATTTTTTGTGTGTTTTACCTCGAAAATTTTATTAAATTTCATTTTTTATATTTACCTTTTTTGGTAAAATTTTGTTATTACTTTTTTTTTTATTGCTTACAATAATTATATATTCCGATGACTTTATGTAATAACGTGGTAGTGTTATATATGTATATATTTTGAGAAAACCATAAGCACTTTACGGGTCATTTATTCATTATAAAATACTTGTTAAGCCCTTTTGATATCGTCTTTATCATTATCAATGTAATCATTGTCTTTATAATGAATGTAATAATAATAATAATCATTATCATCATAATCATCATCATCATCTGTTATATCAGAATCGAATCTATCATGTCTTTTCTATTTAATCTTATATTTTTTACGGTATTTGTATGTATGTTTTACGGTAACGTGTATGTATGTATGCATTGTATCATTTACATGTTATACGAAAAGTTTCTTGCTTTATTCTTCTGTTCTGATTCCGTTTTAATGTAAATTATTTTAATTTCTTTATTTTTTATTTTTTCTTTTCAAAAATTATATAACAATATAAATAAAAATAATAACAATAATAATGATATAAAAATCTTAATATAGTGAAAAAAAGGGTTGAAAAGTTTCAATGTCTTTATATAATACTGTATAGCAATTATTATTACTTAGCTTCCTTTAAGGTATGAAAATGTTTTTTTGTTTTTGAATTATACGGGAGAATACATGTATATACATAGTCTTGTAATACTTTGTTATTGTGTTTAGGGTTGATGTTATTTAAAAGAAAAAATTTTGTAATTATGCTTTACATAAACAATAATATAAATACAGAGTATTAAAGTAGAAAAAACATTTATCTGAAATAAAAAAATAAAAAGAATAATGACGACGATGAAGGTGACGACGTATAACAATACTTTATATTTATATACAGGGTGATTCAGATTGCATCACTATACAACATTGTTTAGAGTATATCAAAAATGTTTAAAATTTTTGTTTCGGAGTGAGTGGCTCCTCTCAGAAGTTTCTGGAGATTCCGAGATTTTAAGAAACTTTCAGAAAACAATTCGCTATTTGAAGAGAACAAGGATAAACTGAGCATTACCAATGGTATATAATGTTACTCCCCTTGTTGGTATGTTTGGCATGCACCGTGTATGTTTGATTTAGTTTTGTTAGAAGACACAAAAAATAATATAACAAAAAATAAATTTGAAAAATTTAGTAATACACGTTATGAATATAACACATTGTGTATATACATACACATATTAGTTATTATATAACTTTAAAATAGAAAAACAACGAAAAAAAAGGATATCCCCGTAAGACTTTCAAAGGACTTAAAATATAATTTGCATTTAAATGAATTTTCTCAGTTTATTTTTATTTTATTTAAGTTTGTTTTTTTATTTCGGTTTTTTTCTTAACTAATTTTAAAGCACTAAACTACTTGTTGCCCCCGTTTATAAACGGAAGAGAACAAAGAAAATTTTTATTTTAAATTGGATTCTTATATTTTGTACATCTTCTCGTTTACGCGTATACGAATATGAAATTTCTAATTTAATTTATTGAATAACATTGGCTGAAGAAGATATTTATAGAATATGATCACGTGTATTGTAAAATTTGAATTTATTTCCAGCTGAAATTATTCTACATAGATTATAAAAATATTATTCTTTTGTTTTACAACCACACATAAAAAGAAATATTCTTTAAAAATGCTAGAATACTTTAATATTTTAAAGAGAACTAGTTTCCTATATGGTGGCAGTAGGACCTAATATTGAAGAATTGATAAAAAAATGAAAAAAAGCAAGTAGTGTTATAAGCAAATTGAGAAATAAATGGAAAATAAAACTTAATCAAAGTAAATCTGTACATGTAAATTTCATAAACAAAAATTTAGTAAACCCGACCTTAATCAAATTTGAATTGCGTTAGAGTATATTAATCCGAAACACAGAAAAATGTCTAGGATATGACATTGGATGTCAAGATCAGATGGAAAGAAAAATTCTAATTCTAAAAGAAAACAAATATAGAAAAAACTATTGGCTTCAGGTATTGGTCTACAATCAAATAATAAGGCCTACATGGACGTATAATATACAGCTGTGGGCTATGGGGTTATACAAAGCAAATCAAGCAAACATAGATTTTCCAGATAAGTTGCTTCGTATTATAGTGGATGATCCTTGATATGCGCACAATAGTAACATTTATAAGGATTTGGGTGCTCCGATGTAAGTGCTGAAGTAAGGAACTGTGCCATGTAAATATAAAGCCTATAGACTTATAGAGGGAAAGGTTAGGGTAAAAAAACTAAAACGAATGAAACCTCTCGATTTAGCTTTAAGTGTTGATAAAGCACTTTCATAACATTCCTTAACGGAATTTAGACACAAAAGCACAATAAAGTAAAATTAATGGTTAGTCTAGTAATAATTAATTTGACTAATTTTAGAATATTATAATACTATTCATAGACCTGACAACGATTTGAGCCCACTTATTCCTGTCTGTTGATGATTTTTGGCACCTATATGGAAAAAAAAATTGCTCAAAGAATTTAATTAAAATGTTATATTGTACATATAAATTATAGATGGAGCTACAATTACCACGTCCGTGGACAAAATTTCTAAACCTTGGAAAAACCTTCTTATATGTATAAGTAGATCCTTCCTAGAAATGTAATTCCGTAGAAGAAAATTTTTACCTATCTTTCACCCTCCAAAAATTGTATAGTCCCTCAAAGACCTAAAAATTCTATTTTTTGGCTATTTATTTTAAAAAAACCATAAACATTTTTCAAATTTTGCAAATGCAAATAAGAGAAGTATTGCATACTTCTTCTATAGGGACACAGCATAATAATTGAATATTGAAAATGCAAAATGGTCGGTAAAATTAGCGGTTGTCTAAATCCCACTTTTTTTTTCAAATTTTTAATATCGTTTTTCTTCTATACATTGCTCACGCAATTAATCATTGAGTCTGTGCATTATATTAAAGTACCTTTCAAGTGCTTTTTTTGCTTCATCCTAAATGTATGCAATCTTTAAAATATTTTGATATTATGAATGAAAGTAATTAAAAGCAGTGTTTTCCCCTGGTTCAAGGGAAAAATACTTCTTTACAACCCATTGGTTTAACCCAATTTTATTCTACTTATTTAGAATCCATAATAAAATCATAATAATAGTACATTCAATGTTGTACTTTAAGACAAAGTGTAAGAAATTTGTTTTAATAAATTATTTAGAAAATTTTAAAATAATGGCTGTATTAAATTTATTTAATTTTGTTTAAAAAACTTTTTTAATAATAATGTAGGTATTAAAATAACAAAAAAAAAGAAAAGAAAAAATTTAACCTAATTTTTCCTTTATAAAATTTTTTATTTTTCTGTTGTTCTTTTTTCTTAGCTATTGTTTAATTTTAAGAATATATTCTATATAGGAACACAGAATATAAATTTTATTATAAGTATGTATATGACCATAATATGTATGTATGCATGACCGCATACGTACATACATATTTTATATTTTAATTTTAGTACAAATTTACAATGTTCTTTTTTTTTTTTTTTTTTACTTATTTTGCACAATTTTATGTTTTAGAGCTTTATGATCGTAAAAATAAAAAAAAAATTATGTTTTTTTTTTCTTG